GAGATTTTAATGATGTTTCTAGTTATTAATTCTTATACTTAGTTTTAAGAATGCATTAAAGATATTTCTTTATTACAGGTCTTTAGTTTTAGATTTATTATTGCTATATCTGAAACTTTAACTTGACATTTTATAAATTAAGTAAAAAATTTATAAATAAATACTAATGTTCAAAGTACAGCTATTTATGATTATAGCTTTTTAAGTATACCTATGACTATGTTAAGTGTATTACACACAGTATATTAATATTAAAGTTAAATTAGTATATGTGACTATAATTCAAGACTGCGTAAGGCAATTTTAATATATAAGAAGTGTCTTACAGTAAAAAATTTCTTTACCAGGAACAGATTTATTAGATTGTGAATGGAACCACATTAATTAAATGTTTCAAGTGGAAAAATTTAAGTGAGTTACACTGTATGTTTAAGTAAACATTTTTCTAATTGAAACAATTTACGGAAATGACCTCTGCTGCACTGCATTTCTGTTTTATGTTAGGTAGTCCTTACTTCCCACATTATTATTGAAAAATATGTGATTTAATGAAGTTTTGTTTTTTTCTGAAGTAAAGAAAGTTTGTTTTTATCCATGTTTTTAAGCATATGTTTTATGCAGAATGCTAAAATTTTCTGAAAGAAAATTGTGATACTCCCAAGTTTGTAAAAAATCTTTTAAATTATTATTTTGTTATGTATAATTCTGATAGTCTTGATTGGCATGTACAAACTCTTTTGTACAATTCTTAATATTTTAACTTCAAAATATGTAAGTGATATAAGTCAGATAAATAACAGATATTAATTTAAAATTTCTGTTTGTATTATTGCATGTGTAGCATGTACTAAATTTGCTGCATTTTGATGTATTTTGAAAAATTTCATGTGTGATTAGTTTGAGCATGCCATTATGATAAATATGTTAAATCAGATATACATATGTAAATTACTTCTGAACAGGTTGTCATTCAGTGTGAGTAATTTGGTACTTTTTTATGTGCTTGAATGCCTGGAATGTATAAAAGTTAATCCAGAAATCTGCTCTCTGGTAACTGCTAGTGAAGTTATGTTATTATGGAGAAAACATTATTTTTCTTTGTTATTATTATATAAAATTAAAAAAGGAGGAGTTTTTTTTTTAATGTCTTAGGAATACAATCAATGAAAAATTTGGGAAAAATGTAATATTGATAATATTGATGTATGTGCTGACAGTTTATCATCATAAATTTAAAATCCTATTAGGAAATTTCTGCCAGTAATAACTTGAAATCCTAAACATTTAAGTCATTTATTAAATATGATATATGAATATCATTTTTTTTTTTTTCAAGACATAATTTTTAATGGAATAAAAACTGTTTTAGACTGTGTAAAAGTTTTTTATAATTACAGTAGCTCTCAATTTTCACACTTTTTTAAAGATTTGTGTGGATATTGCAAAAATTCTTAGCTCGTATTGAGCATGGTAACTTGCACTCACTCACACTTTGCCTAATAGAGCAATCAATTTCTTGGAATTGTTGAGACATCACTAAGGTTCAGAGCCCCGATGGCAGAAGTCGAATATATACAGTGTACTAAACAGGTTTAGTTAGGGTATGTGTTGATGAGTTTGTGTTTTGCCAATTTATTTGTTTATTTTTAAATATTTTGCCCTTATAAACTTGAATGAGAAACAGAGAAATTTTGGTGTTGACATGAACAAAACGAAATTAGACAAAATTGGAAATAATTTGATATTTTAAAAGTGGTGTATCTTTTGCTTCAGTCATCCATTCATATGACATAAACAAGTCAACGATATGTTCAGCTTTGGAAAACAGGAATAGAATTTAAGGAGTATGTTCAAAATTATGGAAATATATCAAGAATTGTTTCCAGAGGACACGGCATAGGATGAAATGGAAAGATCATTGTCGTTATGGATTGTTGATCAACATGAAAACAATGTTCCTCTGAGTTTTTCAATTATTTTAGCTAAGGCTTTTAGTTTGCATGAAGATTGGAAGACTAAATTAACAGAAGATTCTAGCACAGTGTTTTAAACAAGTAATGACAAGTTCAGCTTAAAATAAGTATTATTTATATAATATTCAATTCAGTAGTGAATCAGCTGATGCAGATAAATTTGCTGCAAGGAATTTATTTCCTCATTGCCCAGAAATATTGTAAATGGAAAATATTTGATGTAGAAGAGATGGGTTTATTTTGCAATAAAATGCCTAATCGTACATTCATATGAAAGGAAGAACCAGTTGCCTCTGGACAAAAATCTTCTAAAAAGGGATTGACATTGTTTCTTGGTGGAAATCTCTGTTAATGATTTAAAATTGAAGCCAGTGTTAGTTTATCGAGCAGAAAATCCCAGAGCATTGACAGGGAATGATAAAGAATTACTTCCAGTCATTTGGAAATCAAATAAAAAAGGCCTGGAACACTGTTTTAGTTTACAGATTATAGAGAATTTTTATGTACACTGCACAAAGGGGGAAAGATGGGACAGTTCTATATCTCCTGTTCTACTGGGCTGATTGACAAACTACAAATTGTGTTTTTCATGTCTTGAAAGCGCGACTTAGGATATATATTAGATTTTTATATAACATTGTTCTAGCGTAGGAATTTTGACACAAAATCAGACTTGTTCTGAAATAACATACCAATTTTTTTCCGTATTTTGATTCTACGAATCAAGTTATGCCTAAATATTAAATTTTGCAAAATTTCGGATGAAATGGAGAAATTCAAAAATTTATCTTGGGACATTTTTTTTCAGTTTGCACCAAGAATAATTCACTTGGTGAACTTCTTAATATATGGCAACCAATTTTCCTGTCCCTTCCATTATGCTGGAGCGGAAAAAAAGGAAAATCTCGTTCTTACCTTTTCACATTGTGAATGAGCGGGGAAAAAAGTCACATCATTCCTACTTTCAAATAATTTTAGCAAAGTGTCTAAACCACATTTGGTATTTTATCACTTTCAACAAATATACCAAATTTCAAAACGTGCAATATATAAATTCATGTATATCTTCAGAAATTTTGAATAAAAAACTGTAATTTTTTGCAGCTATGCTTAGAAATATGTCTACTTTAAAATGATGGTAAAATTTTAGATTATAATACAATTTTTGTTTTGAAAAATTTATAAAAATTGTTTTTAAAATAAATCATAAAAAATGGTGAATTTCATTTGGAATGACCTGGATTTTGATATGCAAAAGGAAGAATCAAATAAGTTTAATAAAAAAAGAGAGATTGATAAATATACAAATCAATTAGCATTGAAGAGATAAAAATAAGAGCTAGTTTTTAAAAATCACATGAATAGTTTAAGTAGTTTAATTTTTTAAAAACTACTCGTGGGTTTTACAACCTGGTTTGGGTAATAATGATCAATTGAAATATGGAAAATTGGTATGGTATTTCAGAAAAAGTCCGATTTTGTGTCAGAATAACTAAGTTAGAACAATGCTATATACTAAGTCATGCTTTCATGACATGAAAAACATAGTTTGGATTTCATCAGTTGGCCCAGTAGAATGAGAGATATAACCCCCCCCCCCGGGCAGTCTACCTTGAAGATGCGTGTATGTCCAGGGTAACTGTAGATCAAATTTGTCTGTATGTTCGTACAGACTACACTCAAGTTGTATGATAATTAAAATATATTTGCTCTTAAAATTATTTGAAGAATATGCTGTACATACCAAAAGTCCTCTGAGCAGTAAGAAATTTTTGTTCAGAGGGGCTATTTTAGTATTAAAATCAATGGGCTTTTCCTTCTTTTTGTTCTAGTCTTTCAGGTGCCACATCAGTTAACCTTTTATACTCGAGAGGTGACTCTCAGACATTACTCTGATCTGATTCAAGCGGTAACAATGTTTATTTAGGTTTAGTTTGGGCAGTATCATTTCATGAGTATATTCACCAACACATTCGTATAAAAAAATCTGCCAATCTTTGATCTTAAATAATCTTCTTAGATTTATTATTATACATTTGTCTTCAACATTAGTTCAAACTCAGCAATCATGGCAATAGGAATATTATTTTAAAAGCCTGATAAGCATGGAATATGATGAAGGAATCAGTTCAAGTGAAGATGAGTTCAATTTTTCGTTGATGAAGAAAGAAATTATGTCTGTTCATCGACTACTTAACAACAGAGAGGAAGAAAGCCGTGAAGAAGATAATGATGAACTAAGATGCATGAGAAGGCAAAAAATCAAGATAATAGATAGTGAATGTGAAAGTTAGTCATTCCACATAAAATTCATAGTACACCTGCACAGAATTTGAAGAAATACCACGAAGAATACCAATTACTTTTGAAAGAGCTAGAGGACCGCAGATATCTTTAGACATAAAAGAACCATTGGATTTCTTTAAATTGCATGTGAGATCATTTTAACTTAACTGTAAGAAATTCACCAAATTTTTGGAAAATCATCATCAAGTTGCTGGTTCACCCAAAGCGAAAAAGGCCTTGAGTGCAAAAACTTAAGGACAGAGAATAGAGTCTTAATAGCCTCAACAGGGGTTATCCTATTGCATGCATTCGTGGTGCCAGAATCATGAAGCAAGAATTGGACACTTTTTAATGAAAGGTCTTTTAGCTACAGTCTGAGTCTCTTATATATTTTTTTACTATTTGGTCATTTTGTGAAATCATTGCTATGATATTTATTCTTATCAGAGAAAGCTTGGAAGAATTGGATGGAGTCATAACATTACCTTTTTATCAACTGGGTATTTTTAATTTGGTTTGTCAGTGTAATAACTGCCTTAATATTATCAATATATATTTTAAATCATGTGAGCTTATTGGGCTATGTGATTCTTGAATGGAAACGTTTTGATTACGTTTCATATCTAAATTATTTTTATAATTTTCATGTAGATGTAATTCTTGTAATTTGAAATAATTTCTGTAATGTTGTTTATGCCCTTTTTATTATATATTAAAACATTTTCTTTAATATAATATCAGGATAGAGAACAAGATCGAGCAGAAGGACCAAATAATGATAATGGTAAAATTCAGATGTCTTTGCCAATACGATCTCAAAGTTACAACAATGTTTCTTCCAAAAGTGCCTCTGATGCATCTGAAACAGCAAAAGGGTCTTCCTCCGAAGAAGTTTTGCAACCTTACATGGTTAGAACACGCTCAGATTCTGGCCGTCCATTAACTGACCAGGTGTTTTTTTTTATCATTAAACTCTGTTTTAAAAATTTTTGGTATATACTAATTAATATTACTGGGTTTCAATTCAAGGGAGGGATATGCAGATCCAGTTTGGGGCTGTGTTCATTATTGATGTTCAGCCAGCTCAGACTAGTGTGGCAAAACAACTTCATAAAATAATTTTAGTTCTGCAAAAAAATGTTTGCAAATTGAAATATTTATTAATTTATTGCTACTTTATCTAATTTTATCTATAATTGAGACAATGAACCACTTCTTAATTTTTTTTAAATTTCAGTACTGGTTGTGGAATGCTTTTTGATACCTAAATCGTAATTTATGATGGTGCAGCTAAATACAATCAGTTCTTCTTAACCCTCATGACCCCAACGATTTTGTACAAGAGATGTTTTCAGATAATATTATGCATTTCTAGAATTATTTGTTCATATTTTGCGATGAAAATCGTGGAAATTGCACCATGCGAGGTTTGTTGGTCATGTTTTTCAATCTGTCTGCTGCAATTACATAAATTGTATAGAAAATCATACAATTAAAATTAAAATACATACCCATGTTATACCCCCAAAAAATAGTTTTAAACTATCATATATATATATATACACAATACAAAGTCTGAAATCCAGACTCGTCGGAACTTTGGCGATTCCGGATTTGGGATTTTTCCAGATGTTAGATCATCAGTTTAAATATAGTAAGATGGCATGTAGAAATTATAAAATGAAAAATATGAAATCTTGATTTATGATCTAAAGGGTATCAAAATTTACAAAAAAATGATTACTACTTATTTGTTTACTTTATTAAGCATTTCTTTCAATGTAAGTTGTTTAAGTTGTTTCATTTTTGTGCTGTTACTTCAGTTATGTACACAGACATAATTTCTTGTTTATTACATTGTTGAAGTCTTGTAACTGATCTTTCGAGAATTCCCGCTAACTTGTCATTCGAAATTTTCTCATTTTCAGTAACTTCTCTGTCACTTTTTTCACTATCGGTAGCGGTATTTTCTGGATTTAAAACCATAGGACAGATTTCGCCATCCATTAATTGATTGATGATTGAGAAGCATTGTGATCACAATGAGAAATTTCTTTTATATCATCTTCATTTATTACCACTTCTCTACATTTCTTTAAAAAATCAGTTAATTGGAAAATTTTATCTTTGTTTTGCGATATCAAAATACCTTTAAAATTAGCGGCTATCATAATCAAATTTAGCTGTCTTTTACTATACATATTTGGCTATGCATCATGAGCTTGGCGACTAACAACAATTTGTTCCGTTAAATTTTATCTTGTTTTTATCGTGCACCGAGACAATAAAGCCTGAATTGTATTAGTTTAGTTATTTATTATACTTATGTCTATTTATTGCACATGCTTATCAGAGTTCTGAATAAATATATTTCCACATATACTTAAGCCTTATTGAGAGCCAGCACTACATATCTTACCGCCTGATGCAGTCTCTTTGGGTCCTAAATTCTGCAACCCTCGGTGCGGCCGCTGGTTCTGGGTTTATGTGAATAACAAGTCAGTTATTCTTAATTCAAATAGTCCTAAATGTAATCTTTGGGTCTATGAGTATCTATCTTTTAGCATATGGAAAGAAATTTTGTAAATTTTTCTCATCAACATTTTTAGCAATGAAATCAAGAGTCAAGTCAACATAAAAGGCCCACTCTTTATTATTCAAATAAACATAAAAAAAATTTTTAGCATCTACACATGATCGTTACTCAAGTTCATGTTTTGATAGACATGCGTTGATGAAAGACGTTAAAACAATGGTTCACCAGTTGGCGTCAGTCAACGATTATCTATGTGAAGTTTTGTTTGAGATCTGTGCCAGGATATGCATCACGGATCCAATACTGACTGTACAAATTTGCTAATGATTTTTGTTCATAACAAGGTGTCAAATAAATAGAATCGGACTCTCCAGTTTTTATTATGCATTGGGGAGAATCAAATGCACCTGCGTAAGCCTACGCGAAAAACTTTGTTGGTAGTTTGAAGTTGGATTTAGATCATTCCGGAAATGGAATCTGGATTTCGACTTTGTACTATATAATATATATAGAAACAAAATTCTAATTCTATAAGCTAATTTAAATTTAAACTATGAAAATTCAATGTATGCAAATAAAAGATAGTTATGCTGCAAATTAATTTGCAATACCATTTAAATTTATAAGTCTAGTAATTGCTAAGTAATTATGTAAGATATGTAAATTGTTTATGTAGAGAAATTTTGTTAATTCAGATTTATTCCTTGCAGTAATGCCAAAGAGATTTTTAATATTTATTAACTTGACAATAGTTTCTATATAATATGGATGATGCAGTTCGATTTAAAAATTATGCGATGTTATCGTATGCATGATTTGTAGATGCTTTATTTTACCTCGACTTATCGAGATGTTTTTAAACTGCGAAGTTTGAACTGCTTATTGTCACGACGATATTTTAATACGATGTTTTTGTGATGCGATGTAATACTGAACGAATGCTGTTTTTAAAAAACAAGTCTAAACCTGTTTTTATGTGCACTTTGATTTCATAACAAAAAGCTTTTTAATTGATATTGGAAGACATTTCAGTTATCTATGTGACTTTTCTAATCGTCAGTGGCTTTGGCAAAACATCGATGCTCTTAAAAAACTAATGTCAAGTAATAACTAATTAAAGAACTCTCTTGTGGCTTACTGAAGGAATGAACTCTGAATTAAAAAAAATCTTAATAAAGTAATTACATATGCTTACATAATTTACTTATCAATTTACATATACTTTATAAATTTAAATGGTATTGCAAATTAATTTGCAGCAATAACTAATCTTATATATGTTATCAGATGAAACTTAAAAATATCTCTAAGTGTTCTTTCTTATTATGTAAATTTGAATTTCTGCCTGCTTTTAAGATTGTCACCAGAATTTAAAAAATTCACTGTGTGTACACTAAAGCTTCTTAAGATCAGGTGCTGACATAGATCAACATTTTGTAACAAATCTTATGAAATTCTTCATCAGTTTCCTTCCACATAACTTGTTAGCCCAAAGGGGCAATTTGCCCGGAAGGGCAATTAATTTTGTTTTGATGTTTTTCATTGGTTCACTATAAACAGTGTTTCACTTTTCAAATTGTTGCCACCAAATGTTAGAGCCTTGCACTATATTTAAAGAAATTAAATAATGAAGAATCTGCATGATGTATATAGTTCTTGCATATGAAAAACACAACTAGAGACATAAATTTTGAATACACATAGTTCCACGCGAATATGATCTGAAGCCCAAATTGGAATTTGTTTTTATTATTTCATTTTTTAAAACTTTAACAACTTTGTATTAACAAACTCAAGATTCAAGTGAGCAATGGCCCAGAAAGAAAAAAAAAAAAGGATCCAGTTGCAGGAGTGTATATTGAAATTCTAAAGATAGACTCTTAAATTTTTTATGTAGTGCTGTGAGTTGAATTTATGGTTAAGTGTAGAAAAGTTATTAAAAAATAGCGAAACACACAAAATGTAAAAAAAATCCCTTGGTGTAAATGCTCTCAGAACTCCCTTTGGATGTGAAAGCTTTCAGATATATATATATATATATATATATATATATATATACATGTTATCAATCTATATACATCAATACATATTATATATATATATGTATCTTTCCCTGTACATATGTGTGTTATTTTCATCTTTATCCACATTAATCTGCTCCCAAGAAGTTGGACATATTTTAAAACCAAGAAAATATTTGTCACATGACTCATCATTTACAAACATGATTATACGCTACAATTTATGCCAATAGCAAATTAAAGTAATGTTCTTTACATTTTTTCATGCAAGAGTTTAAGTAAATTTAGCATTTTTCAGATTGGATTGTTTTCAAAAATTGTTGACATTACCTTCAGAGTTCATGCATCGATACATGAAAAAGGATTTATAGCTCCTCTTTAAATTCTGGATAACTCTGATTGGATAAGACCTCTTACATTGAATGGTAGACGCATAACACAAATGTTTTCCTTATCTGTCTTCAAATTGTCAGCCAATTATGTATTTTTTATGTCATATCTAGATTTTAGATTTAAATTTAGACCTTCAAAATGTTATTAATTGAGAGATAGTTACGAAAGACTTTACTGTAGTACTTACTATCAAACTTGATTAAGTTTTATACATTTGCATATAATTGTTTATTACAAAATGATGAAAAAATGTAAAATATTTTGGAGATTTGATGTATCTCTTTCAAAAAGCTTAGGTTTATTTTCTCTTTATAACTGTATGTTGTTAAATGCCAAATTAAAATTGCCAGTGTCCTGATTTATGTGACGATAGCAATTGATAGAACAAGTGAATATTGCACTGCTCATATGAAAAATGTACTGTGCAGAATGTCTGTAGTCAAAGATGTATAAAGTCAATGAATAAAAGTTGAAAAATAAGCTAATAGAGAAAATGAAAAACTGAATTATGCAGTTTCCTGTTTTATCTTATTTTTATACATTTATGCATTATTTCTTCATTGCATGGATTAGCAATCTATTCCTTTATGCTAAGATGTAATTGCTGTTCTGTATTAGTTTAAATTGTTAGTTTCATAATTTTTGATGTTTTAACCCTTTGGATTTGATGCTTGTTTAACTTGCGAGAACCAGAAACTCAAGACTATTTCTGCTCATTTCATAAATATCTTGCAGCTAATTTAAAAATGATTTCACAGAAATTTAATTGTTGATTTTTGTGTGAAGATACCTGCAGTTTTGCATTTCTTTCACCAGATACAGACCTTTGTGTTATATCTTCAGATTCTGTGCATGTTATCCATTCTGAATTTTCTGTGGAATCAGTGTTGCTTTCACATTCAGTATCTCTTATCCTGATTTTTCACTTTTTAGCACCTGTAACTTCATCGCTATCTTTAGCACTGCTTTTCTTCTCTCTACCCTCAAGTAGTCTATGGATAGATATAATTTCATTCTTCATCTGTGTAAAATCACTCATCAAACTAAATGCCGAAGATGCATATATAACAATAAATCTTAAAAACATATTTAAGATTAAAGATTGGCAGATGTTTTATATACACATATTGTTGAATACACTCAAGAAGCAATATTGCACAAACCAAACCTAAATAAACATTCTT